GGAGGAGGAGGAGGAGGAGGAGGAGGGTGGTGGCGAGGGCTGGCCGCGACGACGTGGGAGAGCGAGGGCGCGGGGCGTCGTCAGGGGTAGTAGGAGGGAGGAAAGGTGTCAAAGGCGCGCAGGGAGGTGAAAGTCCGCTCTCCTCTCTCTCCCCGCTTCATCAACACGCTCATCATAGGTTGTGCGCGCCTTGATCACGCCCTCCCCGGAGGCTTCGGCGGGAATTCTCGGAATAAACTCCCACGCGCCCTCTCCCCGCAAAAGTAATCGAAAACGCCCCGCCCCGCGTACTACTACTCCCCTGCCCGCAACAACCCTCCAATAAGGTAGTGTGCCTGGCGTGTAATGATGGATGTGGCACGAGTTTTGAAGGCGCGTTTTCGTCTTTACTCCCGCAAGGTCAAGTATAGAGAGTAAAACATTGCGCTGAGCGAAGATTATTACACACACGCCAGCGCGGCCACAGCACGCGGCGCGACGACGCTTTCTCTCACACTTTACCCACTTTACTTTACAAACGCGCGTGGCGAAGAACGGGGGGAGGACGGGGGGCGGGGGCAGGTCAACCACCGACCCCACCGACGCGATCCGGAGGTCAGACTCGGGGGTCGGACCGTGCAAATCTTGTGTATATGTGTGTGCTCCGAGGTGAAGTGATTAGCTGACGGTACAGGCCGCGGGGGAGGTTGGTAAGAGGGGGGCGAGGGGAGGCACCGGGGTAACAGCCCAGGGGAAATAAGCTGCTCAAACTGTTTCCACCGAAATTTAAATTATGTTTTTTTTTTTTACGAAATACTCTACCGAATTCATTAAGTTCACCAAAATTCAGTGGAATCCGGCGTAACGCAAGCTGGAAATTTTCGCGAAATTCGCCTGAAGTTTATAAAATTTGATCAAATTTCTTAAAATTCAAATGAAATTTGGGACGTTTTTGCACCAAAATTCACGGCAAATTAAAAAGGGAAAATAAGTGTAACTCATCCGCTCCTTATCTCTTGATCGGCATGTAGGTGTGTGACGTGATTCGAACACGTTCGCTCGCCAGCCGAGCGCCTGCGGTCGGGGTGGACGCTGTCCCGCTGCGCGGGCACGTCGGGTGTGCTGCCTATTGCCCGGGCGCTCCCCACTCGGCAGCGGCCTGGAGAGCCGTGCCGCAGTCAGGGTGCTAAGGGCTGACTTTTTATTTTGAGATTTAGGAAGGGTTCATGACTGCTTGTCCATGGCTCGACGTGAAGTCTACTTGGCCGCTGCACAGCCCCATTCGTCAAATGATTTGTGTATCTGTATGTATATCTGTATGAATAAATTGCCGTTCAAAGGTTTATGGGTCGACTCACACTACTTATTGACGGAGAGCCTTTATTGTGAACAAGAAAGCAGTGTGGTTCACCAAAACGTTACACACAATTTCACTGAGGTTAGGCGAGAAAAGGCGAGCGAAGGAGAGAGAGGAGAGTGACAGTTGAGTGGAATGGGATTATGGGCGAGATGGCGCGTGGAAGGAATCAGGTCGCCGCCGTGGTGTTTGCAGCGACCGCAGACTTTATCAAATAGCGCAATAAAAGCCCCGGGAGCTATGCGGCGCGCTGGCCGCCCACCTGGCCTGGCGCGGCTCTCGTAAAGCGGTCATGGGGTGGGCCGTGGAAGGTTGGCGTTCATGTCTGCTCGGCCCGACCCGGACAGACGGTGGTGGTGCAGTCAGCCATGCCCCCGCCGGGAGTGGAGGAAGATGGGGGGAATGAATGGCATGAGTGAGAAGTTTTGAAAAAAATATGAAAAAATAGAGGTGAAACGGTGTACCGTGCTACGTATTGCGAACGCATGGGACGGTTGTCCAATGGACTTTTCAGTAAAGCAGCGCGTTAGTCACATAATGTTATGATGAAGAGTAACATACGGAGGTCTGTGGAATACACACATTCTTACCCAGCTCCTCTCGCATAATAAAAGAAGTACGTTGTGTTTTTTTTGTTTTCTATGGGCCTTACCTTCCTACCTTGTGACGGTGGGGTCGGCCGGAGCTCCGCCCCAAAAGTGGCCCATATTATAACGACCTTAGTAACGGACGGACGGACGGCCGCTTAATAAGTCAGCTGACGGCGGCCACGGGAAGCGGCGCGGCGGAGCAGAGCTCTGTACCCATTTCACAGAGAGGCGAAAGGTGAGGGAACCGCGTCTACCGCTTCCGCCTTTGAAGCAAGTCACGACCTGCTGGCAGACAATTTAAATGAGGCATTGTTTTTTCATCATCCGACGAGAAGGAGAGAGAGAGAGCGAGCGGGGAAGGACGTGGTGGGGTTGAGGCGCGCGTTGCGGCCCACCCCATCCTCCTCCTCCTCCTGCCAACTCATTCATCTGCCGCATTGTCTCCTGGCAGTGTATCGAGCCGGCCGGCAGCGCCGAGACGGCGGTTAATGTGCCGTGGTCTCCGAGGTTTGGGGGGAGGGGGCGGGAGGGGCACTGGGGTTGAGGGAGGGGGAACGGTACATTGGGGTTCCCTTTGCGGGGGAGCCCCAAGCACGGGTGACCGCGGCGCTGCACTGCCGCGAAATGAAGCCCGTTGCACGTCGACGACGACGTCGTGGTCCATGAGTTTAGTTGTTCGACTCGGTCCTGGCGGGAGCGAGGCCCCCGGGGTGCCCTGGGTTGCCCCGGGCGCGGCCCGCGATAGCGGTGGGGCCGGACGGGGCGGAGGGGCCCGGGGCCCCGCGGCGCGGCCCGGTGTGGGGCCCGTGGGGCCCGCGGCGCCGTCATGCGCGCGAGTGCAGCGCTGGCCGTCGCACTAGGTGAGTGCAGGCCGCCGCGGCGCCCCCGCTGCCCCCGCCGCCCCTGCCCCCGGCTGCTCTCACCCTCTTCTTGCAGTGGCGGCTGCCTGCGCGGCCTGCGCGGCCTCGTCCACCGGCCGTCCCGAGGCCAGGCCCGCGACCGCGCCGACCATCTCGCGGCCGTGGAGCGCGACCGCGGCGGACAGGCACGCCGCCAGGAGGCAGCCCGCGACCCCCGGCAGGCACGCCGCCGCCTCTTCGAAGCTCGCCGACGCCGAGGTGCAGCCCGGTCGACTGACCACTGCGGTCAGAGGTGAGCCCCTCCCCACCGCCCGCGTTGTGAGGTCCCTTGCCACTTCGTCCGGCGGCCACATACCCGCGGTAGATATCAACTTTGGCAATATCGGGGGCCGTTTGTCGGGCGCGAAGAATGTGGCTGATTTTTTGAAAAGTTTTCTACGGCCTTTACCTGAAAGGGTGGCAACCCAACAACCTCCAGTCTCAGGGCCGCCTCGGACTTTGGCCAATGTTATAAAACTTCCCGGAGGGCGAAGCAGCTTTTCGGGTGACAGGTGGCTATTAGAAAGTGTGACTGTTTCCTCAACAGATATCCTATTTGTGAGGCACGCGGAGAAATATGAAGCGGCTGATGTGACGAAAAGAATCGAGGAGGACACTAACAGACTGCCGTCGACTGCCGAGGTGCCGTCAGCAGTCCTGTTGCCTGCCAGTCCTTCCCACCAGTCGAACGATGCAACGGAAGCTCCAGTATTCTCACAGCACGCCTCTGTGAACTCGCTGGAAACAGTTTCCAGGCACGGTGAAGAGTTTCCGATCAAGATCGGCGCGTGGAACTCCCTCTCCGATTTGTCCACCAGCCGAGGTTGGGTTAGGTTTGGTTTTGGGCATTGGAAAACTACACCAAAGCCCGAGAGCAAGAACGCAGATCTGACTGAGGTGACGCCCACGTCGAGCCTGCCATTCCATGTGACATCTCATTCTTCTTCATCTCACCCCACAAGAGGTGCAGCAGCTACGGCCATGAAATCAGTGCAGCCACTTACGCAAGGACCAGCAGTGACTATTCCAGCCTCTTCAGTGCCACCGACAAGAGGCGCCAGCACTGTGGCTACCACCCATACAAGAGACGCGCAACCCCATTTACGAACGAAAAGTCCACTGAGCACTTCGTCCACACTCACTTCCGTCGTGGAAACGATGAGGTCCAAGCCCACGTCGCTCGACGGCTCATACGCCGGCGATTCCTCCTCAACGAACAGTCTACAACCACACAAGGAAAACGAGTATACCTTTGGAACGAGCCCGTTGCCAATGAGCGATGAGTGGGCTGCCAATCAATCAATGCTGTCCTCGTGGAAAGGGGCGCATACAACAACGGAGGTCCTGTTGGCTAAAGACACGCCTTCAACTCTACCAAACAATAAACTCGTCTTCGAATTGAGCCCAACGCCGTCAGTGGGCACGACTCATGAAAATGACAACACAGAAGCACACACTGAATTCACTGGCAAACGGCGGCACGCGACCAGCTCCTATCTCGCCCCGAGCGAAGCTTTGAAACCCGCTCGAAAAGCAATCGTCATTACTTTCCCTAAACTGAATAAGAATCTACCGATAAAAGCGGCAAACGACAGCGACGTAAAGCAGCATGATGCTCATTTGGAACGTGGAGCTGCACTATCTCAAGTCAAACTGCCACTCGAAAGAGAAGTCAGTACGCTAGTGGCGGATGTTACCGGGAAGTTTTCATCTCCTGTCTCGCCTTTGTACGTGGAACAGCAAACGGCGAAACTTGAATCGGAAACTACAATGGCGCAAAGTTTTGCCAGTTCAACCGAGATCGTGCGTCTAGGCGAGGATAATTCTGAACCGGTGACAAGTGCGGTCGATGGTAAACAAGGCGAGGAAGGCAAAGCAAGAGAAGGCAAACAGTTGATTTTAACAGTGCTGGTCTCTTACCTGAAAGAGGGGCACTCGCTCGTGAACGAAACAATAACCTTCAACTTGGACAGAAGAGATAATTCGACGGACAACACGCAAATTACTCTCGACCACATTTCCACTGAATGGACTGAAACTTCGAGGGCGATTGCCTCCGCGCTCTCGCAGCTGCCGTCTCTCCAAAGAGTACTCAAAGGATTCGTCCTCGCCACGCCCGCCGCAAAACAGGACTCTGCTACACCATTTCCTCCAACTTTGTCTCTTCGGCCGTCGCCATTGAGCACAACGGAGAATATGCTTCCCTTTATCAGTCCATCTGAACGAGGAAATGAAAAGATTTTAATTACTCCGTCTCCTTCCAACGAAGATCTCGACGAAGACCCTCTGGTATATTCTACCCGGAGTAGAGGGCCGGGTTTACCAACTGACGTCCTTGTAGAAGAGAAAGCCGAAGAAACGAAAGTAACTGCACCGTTTGCGCAAACACACCCCGACTACAAATATGAAACTGCGATAGACTACGTTCCAAACGTCAACGGAAACACTGACATCAATTACGACAATCGGACCAAGAAAATTGTCTTGTACGTTGACACCGGTGACTGCGTACCAGAAATTGCTGAAAAGATATCGAGGCTAGAAAATAGGAGCAATAGCGATTCAGGAAAACAGATTGTTATAGAAATGAATTGTTATCAACCAGATTACACCAACTCGGAGCAAATGAACTCAAACAATAGTGATAAAAATGACATCCCAGATGCCGAAACTGGTGATATTCAACTAACAAGGGCAATTGAAACACATTTAAGTAGCACTAGACCCATGAAAAGTTTATCCACGGTAAAGCCACCGGAATTTCTGACTCTGCCCACAAAACGACGCTCTTTTGCGCACCAAAGCACTCAGACGGATCTTCCTACAGACATGAAATCAACCTCCATATCTGTAGGTCTGAGACGATCAATGGCGGTAACGACTTCACCAAAGAGGCGACAGCCCCTTCAAATAAAACAAAAAATAGACAGCTCTGACTCAACACCGAGGCCTGACGCGAAACTTCTGGAAGACTCTAAACGGAAGTGGACACGGAGCCGAGCTCGTAAAACTAGTGGTAGTCAGGAGACCACAAAGAAAACAGCACAAACCGACGCAGGCAAACATACGCTAATGAGTACAACACCTGGATCAGAAGCTACAAGAGAAACAAGAGTGGCCAAACCCGAGTCTACGAAAGCGAACACTGAGGGTTTCGTCCGGCCCGACGAGGAGGATCAGATCGGAATGCGAATGGATGTGGGCGGGCCGATTTCGACAACTTCACGCGCTCGAGAAAATACTCCGACTAATGGAAGAACGTATCTCAAACAAAAAGCTAAAAAATCTATAAATGTAAAAGACACGCCCAAGGCCCGGGGCGTGACGATGACAATCAAGATTAGGGCGAGGAAAAAAGAAAATGACACGGACGATAAGTATGTTAAAATGGCATTAGTGCCCAGTCGTCTCCCCGAGACTCTGGCATTATCTGGTGCCGACAAAATACAGTCGAAAACAAGTCCTCGTAATGAGTTTACTGCCAGCCAACTTTTTAATAGTAGCCAGGATAACTTGATTTTGGAGAACGCAGATGCTGCTCCACGTATCGACGAGCTGTCAATTGATCCATCACAGATCAGCCTCGCCAAGACATCGACTATACCGCCATGGGGCTTTTTGAAGTTATTTTCGCTCTTGGAAGGTTTTGAACTTGGAAATTTGCCTGCCAACCAAAACAGAATGAAATCAGCAATTATGCCTATCACACTTAGTACGGAGACCGCAAGCACACCCTCCTCAGTCAGTTTGTCGACCACCACGACTTCGAACACGACGTCTCCGACCACTGCAATTACCGCGTCTTTTGAACAGCCAAATGACGGTGACAATGCTCAATCCCTAGAAACGGAAATACTTGCAGATACTCAACAGGCGAGTGATGTGCTGGTCTCACAAATGCCGAAAGTCAACAATTCGTCAGCAGACGAATCCAAGCTCTCCCCTGAAGGTGATAGTTCAGTGACAAATGCTGCGGCGCAGTTGAGCTTAACGACGGCGTCGTCCACTGCGAGTAGCTCTGAAGCACCGAGAACGGCCAGGCCCCGCTCGCTGCTCTCAGAACCCAAACTGAGGGCAAATAAGAGCCGGGGTTACCGTCCAAAACCCGCTGACGATCCACGACTTTTGTCGCGCGGTAGGATCAGGCTCACGACGAGCAGGACCGGGACCGCGTTCACCCAGGGGGACGCCTGCGAGAATCTGTGCAGGCCGAGGTATAGAACGGTGTGCGCGCAGGTTGGCTCGATTACGAGGACCTTCAACAGCCTATGCGACGTGAAAGTAGAGGGCTGCGTCGTGGGAGAAAGTGAGTACGATTTTAAATTGTTGGTTGTTGTTATGCCACAAATTTATCGGTACGACAAGCTGACTGCTTAAAACCACCACAGAATCCCTACGATTAAAACTTCTTCCTACTCGTTATACAGTTAGATTTGCAGAAGGAAAACAAGTCGACTCTGGTCGCACTTTCACTATTTCGTTTTGCAAACCAAACAGTGCACTCAAGGAATAGTCGACTTAAAAGTACAAGTGTGTACGTGCTAGTAACGGGTAATTAAGACGCCGGAGCGAACGGGTTTGCCTTCCCAAGGGGCTATGGCGCCTAATGGGCAGGGCAGGTAGGCAACCCCACGCGCTTGTGTCTTCTGTGAATCACCTGGTTCACACGAGGAAGAGTGTACTATAAGTACAAACAAGGTTGCAAGCCAAGCCGACTCTTCCCCTTCTTTATGTGTAATACGTACACTGTTCGGGTTGCAGCGTGTGCAGTACATAACCGTTTGATAGCTTCTTTTTATTGCTAAAATAGTAAAAATGTGCATTGTTCACTGGCCTGCAAAACAAAAGATTCTAGTAGGAACTTTATTGCCCTAAACTAAAAGATCTAAACTTCTTTGCCCTACAACTATGAAGCTACCGTGTCGTTGTAACTGTCGTTTTCTTATTCCAGGATCATAATTTGGTTAACTGTGAAAGTAATGTTTTATTTCTGTTAATTCCCTAGATCCCAAAATTCTGCATACCGGCTCGTGCAACAGGTTCAGGAAAAAGAAAACGAAGGTGACGATAGAACAGGAAGAGGAAGTTCCAGAAAACGAACTCGTCGAAGAGGCTTCATACACATTCAAGCCTCCTGTTTCCACAACATTCTCGCCAAGACGCTGGATATTTGACTCAGTTAATAGCACTCTTCCAGTTTGACGTACCTGCGCTGCGCACATCCACCAAAACATACGGCGGAGACTTTGTAGTGTGATCAATAAATATATCAGAGTTGAGGTAGTAGAAGAGAGTGAAATTTCCAGCCACACGCCAGACTTCACGGGGCAGTTACGCTCATTGTTTGTTATTTAATGAACCTTTGCACAGTCTTGCTGTCGGAGTTCAGGACACTTTGTCAACTACAGGAAGTGGCACGTGCGTTTAAAAATACAAGGAACAAGCGACACTCTAGGTCTAGGCCTCGCACAACAAGAAAGCTTGTAATGACCATGGCATGTCACTCAAAAAACTAATCCCATTTTCAAACAAAACTCGCTGAAAACACAAAAGTCCTGCGCGTTGGCTCGGGACGCGAATATAATGCGGCTTCTGGTCGGCGCGGTGGTCTGCTTTGGGGCTGGCCTCCGGCGCAACGAGAGGGACAGGCGGTTAGCCTGGGCGCTGTCCAGCAGTTTGTAACGGTGGTGAGGGCGCATGGGAATCAGTCTCAGTCCGGGGTCGCCGCTGTCCCAACGCCCCGGGCCGTGCGGGTGGGCGGGGGCGGCGTGGGCGGCACTCCTGTGACAACATCAGCAAACGGATGGGCCGCCCGCGGGCCTGTGAGAGGCTGGGAGACGCACAGCGTGAAAATACAACGCGAGCGAGCCGCGTACGATACGGGACACACGTGCGGTTTCGATATGCAACGCGGTGTACACTATGACAGTGAACATTTTTTTGTAAAGTGCATGATGAAATATTTATCAAACATAGAGTGAAAACAATTGTATCTTTTCCCGGACAATTCTTGTTCAGTTTAAGAAAGCAACATTTTCACTATTTTTGCATGCGCTCGCACAGACGCACAATGAGACGGGCAAAAAACGTTTTTGTCATATGGAATGCGAGGAATCACCCATGCCCATAAATGGCCGGTACGAAACTGCCGAGTTCTGTCTATGCGGACTCTCGGAGCGCCTAATGGGTAGGCAACACCTTGCATACAGTGCATGAGTGTACTGCGGAGTGGCCTACCCTGAGTCTCGCAGGCGCCCGGCTCCCGCGGTTTGCCGACTGCATCGGGGGGAAACGAACGAACTTACTTTCTGGATGCTCCCCCCGTCGCTTTCTATAAAAGGGACACGTTTCGCTCCTATCTGTGACAAATAGTCCGTAGGCTTACAAGGAAAATTTTCCATGATGTGTGCAGTAAAATTACAATTTGAAATTGTAAATTTACCAGCACTTCGTATTGACTTCGTAGTTAGCTAGTTCTTGCTAGCAAATTATTGACATTAGTACATCGTGTCAGCGATAACACACACACATGAGGGATTTCCCAAGTTCCTGGCGCAGTTTCCTCCCGCTTTTCCTCAGCTCTCCGCGCCGCACCCGCACGCGCGCACGTCGTACGTCTCGGGCCGGCCTTAAAGTCGCCACCGTGTGTTTACGCGGGCGCACGGACGGACGTGTGTGTATGCACGCTGCCGCGTTGTCTCTCACCAGACCGAATTAAATCCAGCAATTTTACAACAAGCCGAGGCTATTTCTGCACAAGTGTGCGTGAGTGGCGACGGAGCGCGCGCGTAGCACCAAAGCGAACCGCGAGAAAGAAATGAGCAGCACGCCGTTACAGACTTTTGGCGTGCCCCAGCCCCCGGCCCCCCAGTCTCGACGGTTTCGATTTTCACGACGCCGTTTTTCAAACCACTGCTGATCGCTTTTCGCCGCTTTCCTTTCGCTACGGCCGGCGTCTAGACCCAACGATGTCTTGGGTTGAGAGCGGCCGAGAGAGACACAGACAGACAGACAAGACAGACAGACATCTGTGGCACTAATACACACAACCCTTATGCATTTTACTGTGCAAAAACATGCAGAATATTATACAACCTGCTTAAATTTTATGCATAATTATGTACAAATTGTGCATAATATTATGGCCGATTATGGCTATATGAAACTCTGCATGTTTATACAACACAATTCATAAGGATTTCGTGTGTACTAGTGAGTCTGCATTGTCACTGTTAGAAAATCCTACTCCGGGAAATGTCTACGGCGCACCCCGTAAATTTGTCACCAGGTCCTCTACCGTAATTTTGGATTACAATCCACTCCGTACGGGGTATACCGTAACTTCGCAAACTGACTTATTGGTCAATACAGCACTTGACTTACACACTGAAAGTACGGCCCATATCTGTACGGTCTCGACCGTACAAAAAAAATAAAAAAAATATATATACCGTAGGCAAACCGTTGCGTACTTCCTAAATGGCATTTTTAACAGTGGTCAGTCGCGCCAGCCACACATCCGCTCTATTGGCCACCCTGCGTCCTGCTGCGGTCGGGGGGCTTTTGCCTTCATACTGCCGCTAGCGAGGTTTGCATCTAAATTCTGTCACGTCTCACGCTCAACGGCCTCGCCTCCCCTCTCCCCCTTCCCTTGCCCCCTCTCGTCGCACCCCACATGCCATATCCCCTCCCCCTTCTTCCTCACACCCGCCGCAAGCCCACACGACGCCCTTTTTCGCCTCGGTCCAGGCCAGCAGGTCTCTGCGCACGTGCGCGACACGACGACGTGACGGCGGAGCGTGTGATGAAGTGACGAAGTGACGTGACGAAGTGACACGTGACGCGTGACGCTGTCGGGGCGTGCGATAATGTGACTGCGTCATGATAACGCGGTGTGATAAAGTGGCGGGTCGCGGGCGGGTGGCGGGCGAGGGGCGGGGCGCTGCGGGCCGGAGGGCGGCGCAGTCGTCCACTCGGGGGACCAACTTGGCTGCGCAGAAAAAAAAAGCTAGAGGGGCGACACAAATCGCCCAAGATTTCCAGAGACATCCCGACCCCGGTGTGATGATCGTCGCGATTTCCCTTCCTCTTACTCTCGTTTTGATTTAAGGGAGCCGCTTTTGCCGTCCAGGCACGAATCCGGCAATCCGCTCTCCGCCTACGTGGAAAGCGATGGGTAAGGAGACAAGCCACGACGTTTTCTTTTGTCTTGTTATGCTTTCTGGCGGATTGTAAGAACAAATTGCAAGCCCGGTTCGCTCGCCCTGTAGTATCTGCCCCAACCCCTCCCTCCCTCCCCCTCCGATTCGCGCGCCTGTCGGTTTCCTCGCCGTGCAGTCTTATTTGTCGGCGCTATGGGCGAGCCTCGTCTGCGCAGCGTCACTGCCTCTAGACACTGATCTAAGTGAAATGGTCCTCACATGTCGGGCGTGGCGGGGCGGGGCGGGGGCGGGCAAACAACGTTACTGTTGGCGGGGGCCGGGGAGGAGCCCGAGCGAGCTGGAACGCAATGCTCGCGACTTCCGCAGCTCAACTTTTTCATCCAGCAGCTCCGTCGCGCGTGCGTTGCTGGTACCGCGGCTCGCGTTTGTCGACCGGGGAACAATGAGAGTGTACTCTGGCGCGCGATCTTGCTCTCCAGTCACGCCGGGGGTGGAGGGGTGGGGGGCGCACAATTTAATTTCTTTCTCATTCTTTTCTCTTTCACGCGCGCCCCCCTGCGGCCCCCCGCGGGGCCGGCTGCCCCTTCCCCGCTTATGCGAGCCGCCTTGCTGAACTACAAGCAGCAGCAGCAGCAAGGGCGGCAGAAAGGGCGGCGGCGGCGCCAGGGCCGCGCTGCTGTGCTGCGCGGGTGACGTTGATTGTGTCAGGTGTCAAGGCCTGGTGTGACCCGCTGCCTCAACAGCCGCGGTGCGCGAAGGTGGGGGCATGGCTGGCACGCGGGCCACCACCCCTGCCCTCTCCAAGTCAACAACATGCACCCCTTTTGGCCCTCCCCGTCAACCCCCCTCCCCCTCCGTCCTCAATCGCGAACCGATCCGCCGCAAGCGTTCGCACTACGTACCGCTCTACTGGAGTGTTTTTCTTCTCCAATCCGCCCGCCCCGAGGGCGGGACAAAATACAGTCAGAAGCCCATATTTCGGACCGGCACCCTAATTCCGGACATTGTGCCGTATTTCACTATTGTCGCCTCCAAATCCACAATGCGTTGACAAAAATTAACTTCTATGGGTTTGATTGAAAGATAAGACTACCAAGTTTCCATTTCTGCCAAAAAAAATAATGTGCGAGTGATATTGCTTCCTCCAGAAATTCTTGAAATTTCTATTTTCAGCCCCCTAAAACAGGCGTTTTTAAATGTGACTTGCAAGAATCTGGGGCTCCGAACAGTGTAAGCCCGGGTTATTCTGATCACAACATATGTGAAACTTGGTACTTTTATCTACAATATGACACCAAGTTTTTGATTTTTCGTCGCACGGTTTAGTTTTGGGAAGCGTTTTTGCAATGCGCCCTAAATTCGGACATAGGCTTTTACATGCAAAAGTGACTACTGTCCGAATTAAGGGCCCGCTAAAAGCGATCTTTAAGCAGCTCTGGCGACTAAACTATACCAGATGAAAAAATTTGGACGGTAGGGTGAGGTCAAATTTTTTCATGAAGTTTCTATACCCCCCAAAAAAATTTCACTTTTCATAATTTTTCAAAGCTGTCCGAATTTAGGACGCATTGGTTCCTAAATACGGACACGATTCAAACAGTCCTCACCGCTACACCGTTAGCGCGAAAAAATATTTTTGGAGAGTGGTAGGTGCGTCTCGACGTGAGGATTCTAGAATCCCCTGCGATTTTTCATATTTCAAAAATTCTACATGTCACAGGCGTTTTTCCTCAAAAAACGTCCGAAATATGGGCTTCTGACTGTACACATTTTTCTTACGACGCCCCAGGCCAGGCAAGCCGCCGACGTTCTTTTTTTTCTGTTTTACGAAGAGAGCGGAGCGGCGATACGTCGTCGCGGGTCTTTGGGAGCCGCCTGTCAGTGTGTGAAGGCGCGGGGCTGTAATAAGATAAGAAACGGTGGCGGCGAAGAGGGGAATTAAATGAGCCTCGGAGGCGTATGGAGACGGGCGGGCGGGGCGGGCGGAGACTTACTCGCGTGCCCTTTCGCGCCGTGCGTCGAGCACTGGCTGCTCGGTCGGGTCGGAGAGCCCCGCGCGGGCCTCGCAGTAGTAGCGAGCTTCTTCAATTTATTTGTTTTTCTGTTTCGTTGGAAGACACGGGGGCTAAGTGATACACACACACCCACACCAATGAAAGTAAATTTCACGTGGGACTCTTTTAGAAAACTGGAATAAAGTACTTGTGACGTCGTATCTCTAGAAATTGGCAGTCATGCAAATCTTGTAGTCCAGCACCCACGAGAGACCTGCCACCCCCCGGCCACCCCCTCCATCCTCCCTCTAGCGCCTAGCGCCACCGCGATCCCCGAGTGCCTCATCCCGTTAGTGGGGTATTTCCCTGGGAAAGTAGAGGACGATTAATATCGTCTGCTACCGGACCATCGGAAAGCTTTTGCTAATACGGTACTTCCCAGAATCGAGAACAGACAGGAAGAGGCAGAAGGTGAAAAGCAGTGACATCGTGGAGCCAGAAACACATTGGGGCAAGGCTTTGTGGGCTGTGGACTTTGTGACTCCTCTGTGATGGTCCGGTTCGGAGCGGTCCTCTTGCTTTTCAGAGAATATACCTCGTTCTCAAGAGTTCGAACGGGAGCAGAGTGTATGGGTACATGGTACGTGACCGGCCGTGTGGAGTCACCCCCGGGCACGAGAATCGATTTCGACATTACTACGATGGAAGGAAAGGGGAGAAAAAAGGGGGGGGGGGTCATTGAGCTGCCGCCCAATCACGACGTAACAAACACCACACACGTCCGCCCGGGCTCCGAGAAGTGTCGCGTTGTTTAGTGCGTCTCCCCCTCCAACCCTATCCACTCCTATATTTCTATTTGTGCGCGGGCGTTATCAGAATATCGTGCAGAGGCGCGCCCACCCACGCCTCCCCTCTCACTCTCTCGCTCACTAACTCTCTCTCTCACACACACACACACACGTGCGCGCGAGCGAGCGATCGCGCGTGTACGTATGGCGGCATGCGTTTTGGCCACCAGCACACACGTTTGGTGTTGATGTCCTCCCCCGCCCGGGACCCCTCACCCTTACCCTCCGCTGCTCCTCCCTGCCCGCCGCCGCCGCCCACCCTCCTCCGGAGCACCGACACCGTAAAGCGCAACACGACACACCCAGCAGCGAAGGAAAGAGAGCGAGAGAGAGAGAGGAGAGAGACAGATAGAGAGAGACAGAGAGAGAGAGAGAGAGAGAGAGAGAGAGAGAGAGAGAGAGACAGACATGGAGTCTGCAAAAGAAAGGAGAGAGAAGAGATGCAGAGGGGGGAGGGAGGGGGTTGTAGGGGTACAGGGAGACGGCAGGAGAGACAAGGAGAGGGAGCGAGACAGGGAGGATCCCTCCCTGAGAGACAGGGTGAGGGAGAGGGAAAGGGAGGATCTCTCCCTGAGAGACAGGGTGAGGGAGAGAGAAAGGGCGGATCTCTCTCTGAGAGACAAGGTGAGGGAGAGAGAAAGGGAGGATCTCTCCCTGAGAGACAGGGCGAGTGAGGGAGAACGGGAGGATCTCTCCCTGAGAGACAGGGTGAGGGAGAGAGAATGGCAGGATCTCTCCCTGAGAGAAAGGGTGAGGGAGAGAGAAAGGCAGGATCTCTCCCTGAGAGACCAGGTGAGGGAGAGAGAAAGGGAGGATCTCTCCCTGAGAGACAGGGTGAGGGAGAGAGAAAGGGAGGATCCCTCCCTGAGAGACAGGGTGAGGGAGAGGGAAAGGGAGGATATCTCCCTGAGAGACAGAGTAAGGGAGAGAGAAAGGGAGGCCCTGAGAAACAGGGTGAGGGAGAGAGAAAGGGAGGATCTCTCCCTGAGAGACAGGGTGAGGGAGAGAGAAAGGGGGGGGGTCTCTCCCTGTCTCCGTCGCTCCCGCCGTGCTCCGCCGGCCCCCTCCCCCGCGGCGGCGCGGCGCCGCCGGGCGCCTGCTCTGCTCGCCGGAGCCGGTCGGGTCGCAGCGCTCGCAGCTCGCACGGCCGGCTGGCACAGCAGCGCCGCCCGCCGCCCGGCCCGGTGCTGTGTGTAAGGCTGCCCCGCCCCGCTCCCCAGTCAGTCAGTCTCGCTCCGCCCGAGTCCCCGCGCGCACGAGCCCGACGCCGCCCGCCTGTCCCCTCTACGGCCGCTCGCGGTCCCCACGCGCGCTCACTCGTGCCGCCCCCTCGGCCGGCCTCTGCAGCCGGCTCGACGACAGCGTCTCGTCTCGCGGTCATTCCCTCCACCTCTGAAACAATAACAATAATAACAACAACAATCTCAAAAACAACGACGCTCGCTCGTCCGCGTGTGCGGCCGGCCCCGGCGAGGTGCAGCCAGTCCCCCTTTCGCCCGCCTGCGTCGCCCTCCAGCCGCAGGACAGCAAACAACGGCCCGGAGCGCTTGATTTAAAGGTGAGCGGTTCGCAACGTTTATCGCAGCGGCGGTGGGTCGTTCCAACTGGAGCGGAAGTGTGTGTCTGGGGCCGCCGGGGCAGACCCTCCAGACCGCTCCCCTCTGCCCCGGCGAGCTCTCAGTGAGGGAACCTGTCGACGCCACGTGAGAGAGTGGTGCCGGAGCGGCCGCCGGCGTCCCGCCCGTCCCGGCCCGGCGGCGGCGCAAGCACGGCGCGCGCGGCCGCGATCTTTTTCCTGTTTTTAGTTGTTGTTTTTATTTTCGGGCACGAGTTTGACAGGTTGATGCATGCGGGCCGCGGCGCGGCGTGCGCGGCCGGGCCATGCTCGGCCGGAGGAACACGACGCCGCGCCCGGCCCGTCGTCGTGCGCTGCGGCGGCGGGTGATCGAGAAGCACGTATGTGTCGGTGGTGTGCTCGGCAGTTACGGTTGCTGCTGGAGGGGGCGCGCCGAGCGAGCGCTGCTGGGTGGCGCGCGGGGCGTCTGATGTGATGACTGACTGACTTTGTCGTGACACAGTGAGGTTAGGCTCGGTGTGGTTCTCAAGTTTTGTGCTCGCTCGGTGTGCGGTGGGGACGGCAGCCGGCCGGGCCAGCTGCTCGGAGCCCGGGCCCGCCGCGCCGAACCCACCGCACAGACTGGCAATGGGAGAGAGGGGAGGGGGGGTGGGGGCATCAAACTGAGTTCGGCAGCGACGCCTGTACGTGCGTTTTGATCTCATCCCCACACGCGACGAAATGAGCGCGAACTTTGCATTCACCGTCCGTGTACGGTGATCAAATACGTACCCATTCACTGCCAGGAGGTGTACCTCCCCTTCGCCGCACATTTAACTGAACTTGACGCGAACAGGGTGGTGTACTCGAAAGGTGTTCCGGGAAAGCAGGAGAAAAACAACGAACGAAAGTCGGAAGTTGCAGCCACATCGCTGCATGAGAAACTTGGACGCTTGCCCGCTCTCGAAAAGTTGTCGCAAAAACATAAAACACCACGCCATTGTTCTCGACTCGAACTCTCCATTGCCGATTTCTGGTTTTGATTTTCTACTTCCTTATTTTACAATGCTCCTGCCGAGTACTAAGTAGTCTTTTTGTGCGGGGAGTGCAGTAGCAGTGATTTCTAGAGGCGGAGCGGAGTGGATAGAGTGTCGGGTACGGGCTTTACCGGAAAGAGCGGAGCACTCTTCCTCTTGGGGGCGGCTGCTCTCCTCATTGGATCCAGGTTGGAGAGGCGCTGGACAGTTCGATTACTCGGGACGCCCTTCCTCGTTACTACTTGTTTCGCGCGGAACAGCCTTGCGCGCTCGCCCCGGCCCGGGTCCTCCGCCCCCCAAGTCCCTCGCAATCACCTGTTGCTCGGCCGCCAGCCATTTGGGTCCCATTCATTCTTTTGCCATCATTTCATTTTTCTTTACCTCCCGGCGCTCCTCCATAGTCGCGGTGGAAGAAGAAGGAGGCGCCGCCGGGAGCGCGTCTGGGAGCATGGAGGAAGAGGAGGCGGGGGGCGTCACGATGTCACGTTCAGACGAGGTCGGTCGGAGAGAGAGAGAGAGAGAGAGAGAGAGAGAAAGAGATGGGAAGGGGGCGTGAAGCGCCTTTTTTGACATCGTCATGGCGACGTCGACGACGGCGGTGGCGCGACTCGATGACGCGAACACGTGGACCGCCGCCACAGGGCGCTCCCGTCCTCGTGCCCCGCCCCGCCACGCCCCGCCACGCCCCGCCACACCCCGCCACGGCCCCGTCCCGCTTCCTTCCCATCACCAGGGGCGCGTCGCGCGCGGGGATGGGGTGTAGCCCGGTGCCGGTGCCCGGTGGTGTGTGCGGGAACAGCAGCCGCAGCGGCAGTATAGCCAGACCAGCCTAAGGTCCGTCTTTTCCTCACCCCCTCTCGCCTGCAAACTCCTATGCTGCCCGTGCTGTGAAAAGACGGACCTTAGGCTGTGTTGCGGCTAGCGGCAACAGCAGTGTGGCTGTGTTTGTTGGTAAACACGACAGGCCGAATGAAGGAACGAACGAACGGCGATGAGGAATCCTTCGGAACGCCGCCATGCGGCGGTGCGCTGCGGTCGGCCCGTACGCTCGCCTCTTTACTCGCCGAAGGAAGGGCGCGAGGCATGTGGCGGGTGGGAATAAACTATTTACAGTGAGAATGGATACGGCCCGTGTAGCCGTAGTAGTGGTAGCATCAGCAGCAGTAGTAGTAGTAAGTAGTAGTAGTAGGAGTAAGGCCTCAGTCTGGCGGGGAACAGTTGGACGAAAATGAATTCAGTTGAGATTGGCGATCGATTAATATCCTTCCCACTCTCCTTTTGAGTTTTAATGAATAATGAAAATGCAGAGGGCACGTGCGTCGCTCTTGGGGACGCATTGCTTCCCAAAATCATACTCAAATAGAGCGAAACGGTTGCTTGGGGCGGGACCGACACGTCCACAGTAAATCCGTCCACAGAATTTGCGAGATGTGAAAACACGTCCACAAGTTTACATCCAATGATTTGGACGTAAATTAACAGATGCGTTTGTTACGTCCACAGTGTGGACGTACTTACGAGCCGTGTGATTCTGGTGAAATTAGCTCCACAAAATCTGTTGCCATTTGTCTCCTTTCATTTACATCCACGCGGATGTCGTTCTGCCCTCACTGTCCTCACTGTCACCCTCACTGTCAAAAGTCCTACACACACACCTAAGTGTGGGTTAAGCTTGTACCACTCTGAAAACTCTAGAAATACGCTCTATGCGCAGCACATTCCCACCCTTGTTCGAGTTGTTAGATTTTCATAGAATTAGCGCGGGCGTCCTACGTTGGTGGTAACTGCATTGCCGCTCATGTCCCACTCTACAACGTCTCGGCCGAGGCAATGGTAAATTTTCATTCCTTGATAAACCAAAATTATTCAACTCTTTAACACTTGCAAGGGCACAGGCACAACAACTCTGTTGCACACTTACAAGTGTTGAACAGTTGATCACTTAGTTTATCAGTAGGTATAGAGGGGAAACAGGCATACGGGCATGCGTTTATTCTTTGCTTCTTTGGATCATTTCTGAGGATGTAAATCACAGCGGCGACAATTATCGCCAGATTTTGTGGAGGTATTTCCACCAACCCCACACGGACTTTAAGTTCATCCATATTGTGGACGTAATAATCGCAGACGTTACTTTACGTCCAAATCATTGGACGTATTTTCGGAAAGCGCTTCATTTACGTCCAAACTGCTGTGGACGTATTTACCGTGGATATGTCGGGTTGCCCCCGGTTGCTTTCGTCGCTCTATGATGTCGCTCTGTCGCTCTGCTTCGTTTGAATGACGATCGTCTCTCTAAAGGAGTGATGATCTAAAACCGTCACTTATGATGGTTATGGAGTTACGAAAATGGACATAGCTCTAATTGGGCAACGAGATATTCCGGCACTCTCTTTAGGCGAGACACACCGCTCCAAGCATTCCCAGTGTTGTGAAGAGCAGTGAGAACGGCAGACGCATTTCACGCTCACGCGCCGTTGATCCTCCACATGGGCTGCTAAGGTAATCTTGGCAGACGTTACACAAACCCGCACGCCTTTAGTCCCTGTGTAGCGTGTGTGTGGGCTAAGCTGGAACAGCCCCTGCTTCTTGTGAACCCTGGAGTGCCTGTAAGCGAGCGTGTTTGAGTGTGGTTTGTGAACGCCGAGCCTTGCCCGCCTTAGCGTTAGAAAGAATGTTGTGTCTTGTGTCCCGTTTTGGATCCCAGGCGCGCCGCGCCGGGCAGAGGGCTCGCTCCGCTCAGCTCGGCTCTGCCGCGCGAATAAGGCTTCTGAGGCGAGAATCTCTTGCGAGCCTGGGCGGCTGGTTAATGCGAAACACATGATGGCGGCGACGGTAGGGGGGAAGGGGCGGTGGAGGCTCAAGGGGCAAAGAAGATGCCAAAAGCTTCCGCTCTATTGAAAGAGGGATTCATAATGTGCCAAAGGCGCAGAGGCGCGTGGAGAGGGGGGGGGGCGTTGGGGGAGCCCGTCCCCGCGGACTCGACTCGCCTACGATCCCCCCGCGGGGCACAACGCCCAACGCCGCCGGAGTGGTGTGGTGTTGCCTTCCCCGTGCCTATTGCCTCTGTCGCTGCGTCTCTCTGCTCGGACCAACCGGAGATATACGCCCGAGTGTACGACTTGTTTTCTCGTACGTCTTTGAGCAGGCAGGGGCGCTGCTGCGCGGCGCGTCGCGGGCCTCCAGCGTGCGCACAAATTGGGCCGCCGTAGGAAGGGGGGAGAGGGGTCCACCTCTGGAGGAATCCTCTCTCTCTCTCTGCTCCTCGCAGCTGCGCCGCGCGGTAGAAGGCCGGGCGGAGGAGCAATCTCGCCCCCGTCGACTGTCGTTTGCGACAGGATTGTTTCGAACAGAGCACCACCGTCGCTCCCGTGGCCGCGCGCGTGGAGCCAATCGCGCCCCCCTGCTCGCCGTGCTAGCCGTGCGCTCCCGTCGCAGGACCACGCCGACTGCCCACATTCAATTATACGCCCACATGGACACGTCAATCGGATTTTTAGGTGCGCGATTCTATCGCTTTCGGTATGGCGGGAGCAATTTCTGTTTGTCTGCCTCCCCCCCCCC